CCTTAACCACTGAGCTATGGGGCTAACCCAGCTTCTTTTCTATAGCTTTTCTTTCTTGGATGAGACTTCCTTTTCGTTTGTTCATTTATTCGTTTGTGTTTGAGGGACCAGCAGATGACGTAATGGCTATGTTGCTGGGCTCCCATGTGGTCGACCATGGTTCGAGTCCCAGACTCAGTGGCTTAAACTCACACCGAGTGCGTGTGCATGCGTGCCCAAGATCCCGAGAGGAGAATGAAGGATAAGGGATTGGAGTGTGACCATCCCCCCTGGGGGGGGTGATTTCTCGCTGTCTCTCTGTCTCCCTGTCTTTCCGGTGAGTGCACGTGCCCTATAGAAAAACATCTCCAAAAAAAAAAAAGGAAAGTGTTTGAAATCATTAATTAGAGCATTTTTTATTACGGTTGGTTTAAAATCTTTATCAGATAACTAACACCCATCATATTGGCACCTGTATTAATCAGAGTTCTTTAGGGAGAAAGAACCAGTAGGAAATGTACAGATATATACAAGGAGATTAGAGTAGTAGGCTTATGTGATCATGGCAGCTGAAGAGCCTCACAACAGGCCGTCTGCAAGCTGGTAATCCTGGCATACTGGTAGCATGGATCAGTCCAGGTCCAGAAGCCTCAGAAACAGAGAAGCCGATTATATAACTCACAGTCCAAGGCTGAAAGTCTGAGAAACCAGGAGGCTGCTGATGTAAATCTTGGAGTGTGAAGGTAGATGAACTTTGAGGGCTGATGTCTGAGGCAGCAGAAGGTTAACTTGCTCTGTCTCACAAGACTTCTGTACTTATTCTCTCCTGGCCCCTTGCTGATTGGACTGTGCCCACAGTGAGGGTGAATCTTCCACTTCTAACTGACTTGGACTTACACATGACTGTCTCCTGGAAACACCCCATGGACGTGCCCAGAGTAATGCTTCATCAGGTTTAGGGCAGGTCAGAACAGAGACACTGTCCACAGCTGCTGGGTGAGAGGGACAAGGATAGAGGGGCCAGACAGGACAAGCTGTGGGCTGTGGTCTCCGTCCAGAGCAGCAGCATCACCAGGAACTTGGGCACACTGCTCTGGCCAGCCAGGGGAGGGCCTGGCACCTGTGTCCTCACAAGGCCTCAGAGAGGCTGATGCCTGCACAAGTCAGGACTGAAGGAGAAACGTGAGAGAGAGAAGATGGGGACGGGGAGGGGACAGGAACTGAAAGGTGGATCCAGGTGTCCAGACCACCGGTGGGTAATGTACCTGTACCTGAGCTGCAAGAGGACACTAGAGGCCACAAGAGTGGAGGGTGGGCGTGGGGGAGAGCCTGGGATGGAGCCGAGCCTGGGGAATGGATGAGTGGAAGGCAGGAGGAAGGCATGCTTGGCCGCAGCAGGCATCACCAAGCAGGGAAAGGGAAGCAAGGGCTGTGGGCCTCAAAGACTCAAAGCAGGTCGTAGGCAGCCGCTCACTCTCACACTTGGCCGCACCCTGCAGAGCCGTGCCGGACGCAGACGCAGTGGTCAGCGGGCCACCTGTGCTCTTTACATGCCCCCGCCCCCACCCCACAGGATGCTGAAGTGCAGCCAGGACTAGAGCCGCGCTGGGGCCCGAGTTCCGCTGCCCGTTTGAGACACCATGGACACAGCCTCCGTTTCCACCTCACCATCTTGGATGAATATGAAAGGCTGCGTGCCATCTGTCGGCTTAACAGAGGATGTCTGGTCGTCGTCACCTGCTTTCTTTTGGGCCCCTCTGGTATGGTCTCTTTATTTCTGCCCAGAAGATCTCTGTCTCCGGCACCTTAGCAGAGCTGTTCTCGCACGCTGCTCTCTCACTGCATTAGCTTAGCACGCGCCTAATGCTCAGACCGTATCCTTCCTTTCTACCCGGCCACGTGAATTTTAGTCCTGCATCTGCCCCTACCTCGCTGCTGCCCCTGCCTCCCGCTGGCGATTTCTTTCCTCATGGCTTGTCATCACAAGTATCAGCTCTAGGAGGGCAGGGGTTCTTGTCTGTTTCAGTAACAAACTTTGTCAAACGTAATTATGAGGAGGTGTCTCAGAGACACTCTTGATGGCAGAAGTTGGGTTTAAAATTTCTTTTTAATACATATGGTTATTATCAAGCATTATTTTTTAAAACGCGTGTGGAAGAATAAGATCCTCACAAGTAGTTGCTCTTTTTTTTTATTTACCACCAAAATGAAATAATGATGCCCCCCCTCCCAAAAAATCTTAAATTATAACAGCATCAGAGCAGAGAGAACAGGACTAAGTGGTTTGCTCTGCATAAGCTGGCGTGAGATTAGCCAAGGTCTTAAAGTCTGACTTTCAACGACACACGGACAAACGCTGGGGAGCTTCCTCTCAGGACTGCTCCATGTCTTCTGCAGACACTGTGGAGGGGCGATCAGGCAGGCTGTCCAGGGCCCCGGCCTCTGCAAAGGGAGGAAAGACTGAAGTAGCAAGACACGGCCGAGAGTTACCATCACGGTGCACACCCAGGAGGCTGTGCGGGGTCCTCTCCCTCACCGCTGTCATGGGACTGGATTCAGAATTAGGCGCATTCTGTACTTCTCACCTTCTAATGATTTAACTTCCACGCTGAGCACGCATTCAACACTGCCAGACTTTGAAAGTAATGCATTAAAGAAGTATAATTTCTTCTTGAATAATGAAAATTGGTATCACTTGGGACTAGCAGATGGCATAATGGTTATGTTGCTGGACTCCCACATAGTCGACTGCGGTTCGAGCCCTGGACATGGTAGCTTCAAACTCCCACCAGGCGCATGTGCGTGCGTGCCCAAAACCCCAAGAGGAGAATGGAGGAGAAGGGATTGCGGTGTGGCCATCCCCTGTAAGGGGTGATTTCTCACTTTCTGTCTCTGTCTCTCTCTGTCTCTTTGGTGAGTGCGTGTACTCCATAGCAAAAATCCCTCTCTAAAAAAAATATGAAAATTCCTATCACTTAATGAAAGAATTTCTACGTTACAAAATTTAAAAGAAAACAAACTGAAAAACAAACCTCGATGATCTGATCTGCCCCTTATAGCTTTTCTCAGGCAGTTTTTCTCAAAGGGTCCACTGGGATCCACCGATGGGAATTTGGTTACCCAGTTTTGAGATTTCTAGTAAACAACAGCATTTCCCAGTCTCCCACAGACGCCCCACCCCCCGGTGCTCCTCAGGAATAAGCAACAGGCCTTAAATTCACCCCCACCCTGTAACTTCTCTTCCTGTCCACACACCGTCAACCAAACCAGTTGTACCCAAGAGTTTGACACTGCAAATGAAAGCAGCCAGATATAAGGGACCCAAGAATGAGTCTTGATTTTCCAACCTCGGCAACAGAACTGTGCTGTGTAACACGAACGATGCAATTTCCCTATTGCAGAGATAAAGCGGTCCATCTGCAGCCCGGCCTGCCCGCTCCTGGCTCCCATGCTGGCCTTCTTGTGGCTGGCTCTCAGGGCACTCATGTTTCTTTTCCTCTTTCCCGGCTCTTTCTGCCACTGGAATTTTGACCTCTGTGATTATCTGTGAAGGCCAGACTGTCATCACTGAATGGATGATAAGCATACTGCACAGAAGAGCCAGGCACTGTTCATAGCAGTCACAGAAGATACTACTGCCAGGGTCAGGAGCCTTTCCAGTTAGATTTCAGGCAGCCCACCCAGCAGGAAAGCTGCACACAGAGAAATCACAATCTGAAATACAGGCTCCTATTCACTGACGGTTATTACAAAATATGGTTTAAGACAGCTTGGGAAGAACCTGCCTTTGTTGTGTACCAGTACCCTAAAAGATGCTTCAGTGGGATCAGCACGTAGTTTGCGGTTAAGGTGCTAGACTCCCACATGGCAGACCACAGTTTGAATCCTACACTTGGCAGCTTAAAGATCATGCCAGGTGTGTGTGTGTGTGTGCTCAAAATCCCAGAAGGAAAATGGAGAAGGGATTGCAGCGAGGTCATTCCTCTCCTCCCCAGGGGGGACTGTTTCTCACTTTCTGTCTCACTGTCTTTCTCTGTCACTCTCTTTGCCTCCAGCGAGCACATATACCCTATGGCAAAAACAACAAAAAGGTACAGCAGCTATGACCATGTCAGTAAACACAGGTCCAGTGGCGTAAACTGTGTCCTAAGGTCCCCCTCCTCCTGGTCACAGTGTGGGTCTGAGGGTCCCTCAGGGACAATGTCCTGACCTTGCCACAGTCCCAGCCCTCTGAGGCTAGTTGGGATATTATAAGCGCAGTAATACTAACCTCTGTTCATGTGGGACTTAGAATTTAGGTGGATGATCAGCTACTTCCAGTGGAATTCTATGAAATCCTTTCTTGATAGGCTTTTTATGTGTCCAGTGTTCTGAGAGATGGAATTTCAAATTGGTAATATGTCACATACCTTTGAGATGCAAGAAAGTCAGAAACTCAATGATTGTGCGCACGATATTGTTCTCAGGCAGTGATCTGTCGAAGCTTCCTAGAAGACAGAAAAGATGGCATTTACAGCCCGCCATGTGGGATCCTGGCACGGAGGAGCAGGCAGTGCCAGGTCACAGAAATGGCCCTTCCCCAGGCTGCCGCCGTGTAGCAGGAGGCATCCGGCGCAAGGCCTAGTGCTAGATGCCATCAGCCGCCTAGTCTGGGCCTCCCCCGTTGTCTCTGCAGCTGCCCGTGGCGTTGCTCTCAGGAGTGCTGCTTCTGGCTCTGGCTGCTGACAGGCATGGCGATGTCAGCTCGTGCCAGGCTAGGCTCAGGCAGCAGCTGCAGGTAGGCAAGCAGCAGCTGCCTAATACCCCCTACTGCCCGCTGTACGCCCCTGGAGACATGGGGATGAGGCAATGGGAGTCCGGGATGGATGTCCTCTCACCTGGCTTCATTTCATCTGCAGGCTGGAGCTCCCGCTTGCCGGTGAGGCCATGCTTGTCGTTAAATGACCTGTGGTTGTCAATGGCATCTGCATGCAGTTGGGAGGAAGTCACTGGAATGGTACTGCCATTTTTACCCTTCCCACTCCCAAAGAAAGACACGCACCGGGCTGCGGTGACTTACAGCTAAAACGCGCACACACAAGGCTAAAGATAGAGCAGAGGTATGGGAACCACAGCGAGCAGAGGGCGTTCTCTGTGGAGCCTGGGGTAGGAGCATGACTGGACTGCATGTGCCAGGCCCGAGGGCAAACGGGAGGGCGTTCTCCGTGGAGCCTGGGGTAGGAGCATGGCTGGACTGCATGTGCCAGGCCCGAGGGCAAA